CTTCGATAAAGTTCTTCACAAGAGACTACTCATGAAGTTGGAAAGTCTTGGTATCAAAGGCAGATTACTAAACTGGTTTAGAAATTTAATAATAATAATAATAATAATAATAATAATAATAATAATAATAACAGCTTTATTCCAAACAGTATTTGTGGTACAGGTATGGAATTTTCAGCGTGCATTACAGTATATTGCATCTAATTACCTCATAAATTATATAAGATTTTTAAAAATCAAAGATAAATAAATAAAAATAAAATAAATAAGTTATAAATAAATAAAATAAATAAAAATTAAAAATTAGGAAAAACAGCGTAGAGTATTTCATTTCAAACAATGCACTACAGGATTTGAAATATAAAGTTGATGTGTGGTACTAGATGAGAACAACAGTGTAGTAGTAACGAGGAAAGGAAAAAAAAACCTAATGAGACTATTTGTTAGAGTGCCGCAGTAAGTTTATCGTGTCATACCTAACGGATTTCTCATCACATAACAGCTGTGCCAGATATGGTATTGTGGACTTTTTGTATTTGGTAGTCCTAGCATATAGCCTCCTATAGCTGCTTCTAGTTCTACCAGATGAAATGCAAGGAGATAGATGCGTATAGAGAGGATTCGCGGGGTCCGACAATATTGTATTCGCTAGTTTCTTACATGACATTATATGTCTATCTACAATAGTGTTCACCAGTTGGTTTAACGATATCCCACTTGCCCTACTAACAGCTTTTAGTGCCCTTCTCAGCGAAGCAAAGTCTTTCTTAAGTAGTCCAGGAAAGACTAATGGGGAGCAGTAAAGGAGGATGGGTAGAATACAAGAATTTACAAACTGAGAAAGTAAAGACTGGTTTATGCCAGACTGCCTAAATTTCCTAATGTAGAACGTTAAGCGAAACATCTTTCTAGTAACTAGCAAGATGTGGGAAGACCAGGAAAGATCGGTGGAAAAACTCAGCCCAAGGTACTTGACATAAGATGTATTTTCAACCTCTGTGCCGTCAATGAGAGTGGGGCCATGTGAGCTAACTAGTTGCTGTAGGTCACATTTACGTCTGAAAGTGAAATTGACTACCTGACATTTAGACGGATTAAGCTTAAGTCCGTTTGAAGAGGACCACTGACTAATTTCCGACAGAAAGCTATTTAATTTGGAACAATCTGACTGAGAGTTGACAGGCATAGAAACCGAGAGGTCATCGGCATATTTAACAAAAGTGGCTACATCAGAATGAGGCAAGTCATGTAAGAAAAACGAGAACAGAAAGGGAGAAAGAACAGCACCTTGAGGAACACCAGCTAAAGTAAGTGAGGTAGTGGAGGATTTTCCATTGTAGACGGTGTACTGCTTCCTTTCAGAAAAATAGGAATGCAACCACTTATTTGTCCAGCTTTCAGCCTGTGTTGCAGCAAGCTTACTTAGCAAGAGAGACCTGGGAACAGAGTCAAATGCAGATGTGTAATCAAGGAAGGCACAGCGAACGTATTTAGCTCCTTTATCTAAACTAGAGACTATGCTATGGTGGAGGACGACAGCGGCATCTAACGTACTCCTACTATGTTTATAAGCAAACTGGTTGGGGTCGTTGAAAGGTTTTAAAGAGGGATCAAGATTAAGTAAAATAAGTCTTTCCATAACTTTCAAAAAGGGTGAGGTAATTGAAATGGGTCTAAACTTAACATTAGGTCCACTTGTAGATTTAGGCACTGGAACGATCTTGATGTTTTTCCATGATTCAGGTATAATACTTTTGGAAAACGATTCGTTGAAAATGTCAGTTAGCGGGGAACACAAGATGTCGGCACACTCCTTAAGGATAACAGCAGGAACACCATCAGGACCGAGGGACTGAGTAGGCTTGAGAGATTGAAGACACTTGAGGACATCATTCGTGTTTAAGCATGAGAAGCAGTCATTGTTTACACTATTTGAGTTAGGAATCATAACATTTGCTGGGATACATATGAAGGATTCATTAAGCATGTTAACATCTACAGAAATATCATTCAACATTTGCTTACCACCTGTGATTTCCTTTAATAACTTCCACATATTTGATGGGGATTTACATGAAAGAAACTTCTGGTTATAGAGAGCATTCAATCTTTGTAATTCAAGCTTAATCAAAGTGTTCATTCTCTTAACACCAGATTTGTTTTTCATTTTGAACAACCTTTCTTTTTCACGGCGGAGCTTTTTGAGTTGAGAAGAGGAGAAGCGATCGAATTTTAAGAAGATTGTCTCTTTTGGACAACAAACATCAAGACAGAAATTAAGATAATGTGTTATGTTGGCAATTGTGTTATCAAGAGCTTGTTCAGTAAATAGATCCCAGTTTGTGTCTTTTAACATGGACCTTAGGTTCAGTATGTTGTCATGGGAATAACATCTGTGTTGTGTTTTCTTTCCAAGGTATGAGAAGACCCTTTTGTGCTGCTTTCCATATACTTTGGGCAATATTCTTATGATACAGTGATCTGAATTTAGTAGTGGGGCTCTTTTTCGAGCTTCAAATATTCCTGCATCGTTTGTAAAAACAAGGTCAAGAGTGTTGTCCATTCTAGTCGGGAAGTTGACAATATTATCGTGTCCAAGTGAAATTAGGAAGCTGTGGTCACTAGAATTAAAATCACCAGTAACTATAGACAAGGAATTTCCGAAGGAGGTGGCAGCAAGGGAAGTAAATTCATCCGCAAATAAAGATAATTCTGTGGAGTTGCATCCAGGAGCAATATACATGTTCGAGATGTAAATGTAGTTGTATTTAGACAAATGTCTAGGTCGACACTTAACGGTGAGACAGTCAATATTGTCACTAGAGAATTTGAAACATACATTATTAGACGTACACCATTGTGAATTGATGAAGATGGCGACACCGCCACCGCGTTTCTTCCTGGAACTACACCGATCTTGTCTGAATAGTTTGAAATTATTTAGATACACTAGATTGTCATCATATAGATCATGAAGCCATGTTTCTTGAAGTGATATGATCCCAGTATTATGATATATAATGGAAGACACCAGCGATTGAAGACAGTTAATTTTAGCCGGCAGGGAGCGACAATTGGTACTCATAATTGCGGGAACAGTCATGAATTGAATAGGGGTATTTTTTAATGCTCTCTGCCAGCCGGCATGATGCTTTTTCTTGTCTTTTTTATGGAGTTGCAGATCAGTAGGTTTTAGAGATATTAGATATTCACGAGAATAAATAATCCGATTTGAGGTCATATTTGAATAAGATTTATTGATTAAAATATCAATTAGAAATGAGAAATTAGATGCAATATGATTTGTAATGTTTAAGGTAATTGGTAGCCCAAGAGTTAAGCAGGCCACCAAGGTCAAAAATTTCCTCATAGATAGGAGGCAGAGTGTTAGGATCAACTCAAAACTCGCCTCTTGGACAGCAGTGAGTAGCAGAGTGCCACAAGGCACGGCACTCGAACCTCTCCTATTTATTTTGTATATCAATGAGCTATCTCCGATCATCGATTTCCCTATGGTCCTATACGCAGATGACTTAAAAATTTAGAGAGAGCTGAAGGGCAACAGTGATACACTCACCTTGCAAGAGGACCTCAACAAATTGTCAGAGTGTTGCATAGAATGGGTGCTCCCAATCAATGTAGCGAAATGTGCAACCATGCGTATCGGACAAGCAAGCATCAGCTCCTACGAAATAGAGGGAATAACACTCCCATCAGTTCAGACTCATTTGGATTTAGGTGTGACAGTTAGTCACGATATAAAAACTACAGGAAACTGTCGCCTAGCGGCTGCACATATTTTCAGATCCTTATGGGCAATTCGTAGAGCCTTTACTAGAATCACCCCTTTATATACGTCTCTGTTTAGTTCAAGACTAGAGACATGTACCCAGGCATCCAGTACTCGCCTTAAAGTGGACTCACATATTCTAGAAAGTGTTCAAGTTAGGGCGACACGTATGATTCTTCTTATGACTAATTTACCAAATGTGGAAAGTCTAGACAGTTTAAATCTCTTCCCTCTATCATACCGTAGGCAGATAAGAGATCTTAATACAATGTTCAAAGCTTAAATAATGACTGCTGACCTGGTCTGTTCCTCCTTTTTCACCATTCCAAGTCGGAACATTGTAGGAGAGTTGAAAAGTCATGGAGAAACTATAGTGTCGTTGAGTACCGGTTCTCACACTAAGTGATAAACTTTTGAAACCGACTCCCCGAAGAAGTGGTGTCTGCAATCTCAACTGATTCATTCCATAAGGGTTTGGACAACCACAGAAATGTACTAGAAAAGGATTAACATAGCCTCCAAGCCTTCTATCCTCCAACAATAAATCAGAAATCTAGTTCTTCCCTTTTCACTTTAAAAAAAAACTTTTTTTAGCTCATTCTTACTCCTATGTTCTCTTGTTTCCTACCAATGATTACCAAATGACTATTAGTTAGACGTCAGTCCTCTCAACTGAGCAATATTATAAACTAATTTTTACACATTGCTATTCCTCGTACTCTTCGACTTATTTTGTTGCCAACTTACAATAACCTCTGACCTTTGTTTTGAGTTAACTTTGTACAAATAAATCCCTAAATGGTTGTAGAGCTTTAAAAAGAAATTACGAAAACATGTCTGTATGCTGACTTATATTTTTCAAATTTAGTTTTCCGCCTACTCTGACTAAGCTCCAAGGTCAATGTGTAAAACAAAACGCCTTCAATATTCAAGAGAATTTTATTCGAAATATTTTATCATTTTGATTTGTTTTACTTTTTCTAATAATTACTGTATTACTGAAAGTTTCATGATGATTATATTGGTGAGTGAAAAGAGAAATTCGTTTTGAAACACTATGATTTTATTAAAACAATTACTGTCATATATTTATAACTTAAAATGATTTCTAAGATTATACATCTGCATATAAATATTTCATTGGACATTGAATGAAATCTGTGCATTTTTTCAGTTGACGAAATGGATTTAATAACACAAGTTGCTCTTCTCACTTCACTCTTTTAGATCGTGGACGATTTGATCCTTTGAATGAAATAGAAATAAATAGGTAAGGTGACAAAGGTTTTATTTAGCGGAATGATTAAATCATGAGATAGTTTAAGATAAGAATAGGTTAGATGAGTAATAAAATTATTGGTAAAACTTTCAAGGGTTAGTTTGCAGAGATTTGATTGGTTAAAGGTTGGATCATGAGCTGAAATCAGTTAGAGAACCATTGGAAAACTAGGGCGTACTGGAAAGCTGTTTTGTCCTGGTTTGGGACTCTTCAGTAGTATACAGTGATCGGAGTTCGAACCCAAAGTCATATGGTTAGAAGACGACCTGGTGGACCATTCAGTCACGACATGCTTCTAGAACTCCGGGTAAATTCCTGTATTACCCTAGCTCAGTACTTGTTTTTTTATTAGCGTTAGTTTCTCACAAACTTGATGTCAACACACTCCATCACTTTGCCTGAAGAGGCTTGGTAGGGAGTTACAAATGCATACAAAACCAATACTTGAAAATGCATATTTATCTGTCTATCTCAAAGTGTAACTGTCATAATCACTAAATATTCGCGTGTATATCGACAAACAACAATGAAACTTTAAAAAATTCCCGGTAGATTTACCTAGTCTCAACTTACAGTTAAGAGGATTTTAGGCAGGTGATATCAGAATGTGAGAAACAGACAGACAGAGGGGATCAGAAAACGTCCAAATCACTAGCGTGGAATCTAATTCTACAACAATCCTGTTGTAGTGACGGATAACATGAAGAACCATAAAATTTGATATTGCATTAGAAACTTGGCGGATCAAAAAGAATATTTCCAACAGCCTGCTGTGTCTCCCGGTAACCATCTTTACATATATATTGACCATTTTCTATTGGCTTGGATTTTAAACTTTCTGGTCACATGATTTACTTTTTATTAGTTGGTATATTTCGTTTATATTAACGTGTTTATTAATTGCATTTTCGTTTGAGTACCAGGCTTCTAGGAATTCCCTGACTGCACTTTTGGTGTTTCCTCTGTCTAAGATTTCGACATTATCCTAATCAAATCGATGTCCATAATCGTCTGTATGCATTGATACTAAAGCATTTATATCATGTCTTTTCACGGCTGACTTGTGTTCCTCGATTCTGATTCAAAGGGGACGCCCACTCTGGCTGATGTAATGCCTCTTACAATTCATACAATTTATTTTGTAAATGGTGTTAATTTTATCTCCTTTTTCTATCGGATCTTTTGGTTTGCATAATATCGAATTAAGCGATTTGATTGGTTTACAAAATAAATTTTATGAACTGTAACAAACATTACATCGGACAAAGTGGGCGTCCCCTTCGAATCAGAATCCAGGAACACAAATCAGCTGTGAAAAGACATAATATAAATTCGTTAGTATCACTGCATATACCTAATTATGGACATCAATTCGATTAGGATAATGTCGAAATCTTAGACAGAGGAAACACCAAAAGTGCAGTCAGGGAATTCCTAGAAGCCTGGTGCTCAGACGAATACGCAGTTAACAAACACGTTAATATAGACGAAATATACCAACTAATAAAAAGTAAATCATGTGACCAGAAAGTTTAAAATCCAAGCCAATAGAAAATAGTCAATACATATGTAAAGATGTTTGTTACCGGGAGACACAATTCTCTCACTCATGAAGAAGTTTAAATCATTTCATTTCAAGCTAAAATTTGAGCTGAAAGGGGATGTTGTCCAGAAGGACGACGAAAGCTCCGCAACTAAACCAACCAGTACAGAGAACACTATTAATTGCAAATAACAGCATTTATTCCACATAGGTCAAACACGTCAGACCAGATCAGAAGAATGATTACCAAATAAAACTGTTATGCTGCGATGCAGTATACGTCAGGTAAACTTCTCTAGAAATTCAGGTTAGCAAAATTAAATACTACAGAGCTTCTGAATATATGTGTAAAACTTGGGCACTATGATAGTAAATAATTCCATATTAGTTTGTTTATTAGATGTATCACACACAGTGAAACAGTATTATTATTTACTGGATGACAAGGTTTCGAACACACAATAATCATACCAATCAATTGTAATCATACGACTTTGAAACTTGAGTTCTATAGTTTTCTTTGTCTTCTCCTGTTTGTCGTCGTTGGGGTAATAGAATTTTCCAGATATCTGGGTGGACAGGTGTTGAATCATTTCTATTGGAGGCACGTATTTGCAGTTGATTCGATAAACAAAGCTTCCGCTGTCATCAATCTCTCCCTACACCCTGTGACATTAGATTTTAAAACTGTCATCTTATCCCATCCATCCTATTTTGTGGTTGTGTGTAACTGCATGTAATGAGTGGTGTAACTGAGCTATTCTCCAGATTTCTGATCTTATTAGGGTCAACTAATCTAGATTTTGCTGTTAGGTTTTTATGTTCAGCTAGTCTGACTGCCCCTGTTCTACTACTTTGACCTATGTATTTGACCTGAAAATCATTGCAGGCAGGGTATTAGATAAGCTAAATTGTTTTGTTTTATTGGCTGGCTCCACAGGATTCTTTAGAGCTTCTGCTTTACCATTAAGGAACCCGATGAAACTATAAAGGCGTGAAAATAAACCATCAGGTTTAGGTTGACACGCCTTGGAATTAGGCCATAAAATTGACTTAGAAAGTACTGAAATCATTCAGAGAAATCTCAGAAATGACAAGGAACATATCATAGCATAAGCGACTCAAATAAAATAGAATCTAAATAGTCTGAATAAGAATAATGCGGGGAGATAGTATTCGACATAGATGCACTACCCTTACTCTCACCTACAAATCAGCATAGTCAACACAATTATGGTGTGTCCTTTTCATTACGTAAATGCATTTTGTTCAATATCAAATCGAGTGACCTGTGGATGTTTTCTAGAGTTCTGGTTTCCAGGTATCTGACTGATTTCAACTCTGTCTACGAAATGACTTTAGTTAGAAAATCTATGAAGAGTCCCAGCCTAGGACGAAACAACCGCTCTTTATTTCTGACTAATTCTCAATTTTTATTTGAATGAGGTGAATTTTCGTGATTAAAATTGAAATCTGAATATGTTTATGACCTGCATTAATCCAATTCTCAATTGATAACATAGAATTACGTCTTTCCTGGGTGTTACCATGTATTAGCCAGGATTTGAAATAGACGAACAATGCCGTTTCGTTGATTGGGAAATAAGAAAATTTGTGAAATAAGTAGATACCAAGAAACAAACTTGATAAAAACAACCAACGTTATTGAGGTAACATTTGTAAATTATACAGTTCTACATGAGATCCACCTGTTTCATACTGTGAGTGACAGTCTTAAAACTAAGCGAAGTGGTACCATGCTACATACTCCTGATGAATCGATATGAGTGGTTGAAGATCATTAACGCGGACCATTAGTGCTTGTTGGCCAGAATGAAATGATTTAAAAACACTTGAGGGCAGTTTCGCTGGTTTGAGGTCGAGTTTCTTACTGGTATACGGAGTGTGATTTAACTCAGAGAACAAAATGAGGTTGAGTTTCTAGTAAAAGTGAGGTTGTTAGCCTCATGTCAAACTTTCATATTTTTCCAGACTTACTATCGATGAACCAGGCAGAACTCAGTAATCAATCTCCCTCTCTCTCTCCATCTAACTAGATTACATCTTAGAATCTTAACACTCTCCCACTCATCTTATTGTGTGGTTGTATGTTCATTCATGCATTGCAACTGCTGAGTTGTTTTTTTCTGAAATGATTTTCTTCTTGGGGTCAATCATTCTAACCTTTGCTGAATTCTTGTGTTCTGATAATCTGACTACCCCCGACCTACTAGTTTGACCTATGTAGTTGACCTCACTCGCAGTCATTGTAAGGTATTTTGTAAATTTTATAGTCTTGTCTATTTGGGGCAACCTACAGCGTCCTTTGATCTACAGAGCTTGTCCTACCTGAGTGAGTTTGTATATTTAAATGCCACTCTAATTTCTGCTTCATTAAGAATCCTACGTCTCAGGGTCTCATATGCCCCTCATTATATGGTAAAACTGTAGATGACTCATATTCTTTCTTATTTATCTTATCATTACTAGTTTCACTATTATTTTTATTTTGCTTTTGACCTTTTTGATATTCATGATGAATTTTATAGGATAGTTATTTGATAGTTATTGAACTATCGCTTAGTAAACTATGAGTTCGTCGGCTGAGAATCAGACCTTGATCGTGAGCGTGGTTGGCAAACAGTCTGTCATTAAATCACTAACTGACGAATTCTGGATAGCTATTTGACGAGAATTAGAATCAAGGCCGTAAGTCATTTGTAAATTACACATTTCAAGGTAACAAATCACTTTGATCCAATTAGAAAGCTCTACTATTTGCCATGAGTATTTGCCAACTACTTATATCAGTGAATCAGTAGTATATAGAATCGAGATTTTCAATTATTTTCGCATTCAGTAATCAAATCCTTAGTGTAAATTCCCTTAAACTGTTTATAAGAAGAAAGCTAGGAGAACTTTGGCACTGTGGTTGTAGAGTATAATTCTATAATGGATAAAATTTTATTTTGATAAAATCACGCAGTGTGTTGTACACTAAGTAATATTTACTGATGACCACGTTACGAGCACAAATTACTACCACTTATAATCGTATCAAGTCACTCACTCACACAACTTTCTTGCTTCATTTATATACGTGAGTAAAAGTTGATGATTAGACATTTGAATAAAAATCAATATAAGACTTGCGTGAACCAGAAAGAAAGACGAAGTATATTGGGAAGGAATATTAGTGCTATAATTAAAATACAATACAACCAAATATTTTTAGAATTTTTAATATATTGGTGCATTGAAGTTTCTGTAGCGGTTTGGTTGAGTTTCGGGGGTGGAGTTGCTAGCACCACGCCCAAATCCTCCCTCTTTATCTGGGCTTGGGATGGGCTAGAAAACTAGCAAGCTAGTAGTCTAGGCGAGGGAGCATTGTCTTAACTACAGGCAGTCGGAACGGACGAGGAT